CGAGCCCCAGCACCCAGCGCTTGCGCAGCAGCCTGCGCCACACCAGCCGCCGCCGCTGCCCCGCTGGGCCGGCGAGGCCGCGGCGGGGCTCGCGCCGCCGGGCAGCCCGCGCGCCGCCGCCTCGCCCTCCGCGTCCTGCCGGCCCGCGGTGCAGCTGCTGGCGCTGGTGTGGCGCAGGCTGCTGCGCAAGCGCTGGGTGCTGGGGCTCGTCTTCGGGCTGTCGCTCATTTACTTCCTCAGCAACACCTTCAAGCAGGTCAGTCGCCCCCGCGCCCTCCCGAGGAGCGCACCTGCGCGCGCTCGGCGCCTTCTGCGCCCCGTCCCGCCCGCACAACGGCCCCGCGAGGCAGGCCGGGAGCGTCTGCGCGGGGCCGCCCGGCAGGGCGACCCGGGTCTTCCCGGTTCAGCATTCTGACTCCGCTCGGCCCGCCGTGGCTTTCCGCAGCGTGCGGGCGGGCGCTCCTTGTCCTCCTGCCCTCCTCTCCAGAGGGTCCCGCTCCCTTCTTGGCTTCCATGCCTTGTGCGGGCCCCTGGTCACCCTGTGAGTTGCCTGGTCTGCAGTCTGGCACGCTAACCATGTCACCGTCCCGTGGTGGATTGTGCTGCTTGCTCAGAAGCTTTTGCTGACTGTATTTTTAGAAGATCCTTATTTTGCTCTTGCATCTTCCCCACCTGCATTTATTTATTTATTTATTTAAAACATTTCTGTGCCGCCCCCATCGCAACAAAGCCTTGGGGCAGCTCACAACAAAGACAAAACAAACAAAATCATACAACAAATTATATACTAAAAATATTAAACCTGGTGCATCTTGGCTTATTTTTTTTTAATCCTATATAATAAATTAACACTTAAAATAAGTTTTAAATAAAAAGGTCTTAGCCTGGCGCCAAAAAACAAATAACGACGGCGCCAGGCGGACCTCTCTGGGGAGCACATTCCATAGGTGGGGCGCCACCGCAGAGAAAGCCCTCCTCCGAGTACTCGCCCTCCTAATGTCATTCACAGAGGGTTCCCGGAGGAGGGCATCTGTTGCTGATCTCAGGGGGCGGGCGGGCATATATGGACGCAAGCATTCCTTTAGATACCCCGGGCCCAAGCCGTTGAGGGCTTTATAGGTCCTAACTATGCCACTGAGGGCTTTATAGGGCTTTATAGTATCCTAACTATGTGCCCATCAGCTGAGGATACTCCAGGGCTCTCTTAATGTGGTTTGGTAGTGAAGGTGTAGGATGAGGGGTCTGAAAAATCTGGCTTCTGGATGACGTTGGGCCAGTCACTCACTCTCAGCCTAACTGACCTCACAGGGTTGTTGTTAGGAAAAAGATGGAGTGGAGGGGTAAATTCTCAGTTGGCACTGAAAAATTGTCTGATGCCCAAGAAGGAGATTTAATTGAGAGTGCATTCCGCTGGTGTTGGCTGTAAACCCTTGAACTCAGAGGCCTGGGGTCATCCAAGCAGAGTGGGAGGTGCAGGCTTGCTCTCCTCCTGCCCTGCATTGCCCCTGCCAGGCAGTGTTGCCTATTCAGCTGAGCGTCCTGGATGCCAGTCTAGCTAAAATGCAGAGCAGAAGCTGCGGGGAGGCAGAGATCTAATCTTCCGCTTCTTCCACTTGCTCTGGATGTTCATAAGCCTCCAGGTTCGGGGTTATGAATATCAAGGGCGCAACTGATAGGGTATTTATTTTTATGGGGCAAGAAAACAAAGGTAGTGAACACTATTGATACACAACCTGTGATATGCTAAAAACCATTCAAGTACGTTAACTCAGTTCAGCTTTGTTCTGCTGAGCTTGTGGGAGCACCTTCAGTTTTGCTGTCGCTTGATATCAGTTCCATCTCACTCTGAGATATAGATTTATTGATTCATTCTCTCAATAACTTGCTAAAAGACAAAACAAATCCTTAAAGACAACTTCGAAATGGACAACCCTGCCTGATATTATATGGACATTTGGCAACTGTTCATGGTTACTAATGATATTTACAATAGAAAATAAAGCACTAGGAAAATATTTTACCCACAGCAGTGGTCTGATTATTCCAAATAAAATGGTATTAGTATCTCTCTCTCTCTCTCTTTCTGTGATAGAAGAGATATTCCCTAGAAATATTAGTGGCTTTTCCACTTTCACTGGGGCCCTGCAGTTTCAGGCATCTGCTGGGGGGCTTAGACCCTATCCCCTGTGGATATGGGGGTCCTCCATGATGATCCCCCCCCCCGGTGTATAAGAAGACCCCCCTGATTTTTGCCTCACTATACTGAGTTTAAAGGATCGTCTTATATGCTGGTATCTTTAGTAACCATTCCCAGCCATGTCCTGTGTGTGTGTGTTACTGATGCTTATTACTGAGACACCTTGTCCGCTACAAACGCCCTTGCCAATCCAAGAGCACTGGTGCTGCAACCCTGCAGGCGCTGGTTCCACTACATCACCGTCTGTTTGCTTGCAGGAAGAGAGAGCACTGCAGGACCGGAATCTCCCGGCAGGGCAAGAAGATGACCGCCCAATTGCATGGAAAGTGCAATTCGGCTCGGGAAACGGCAGCCAGTTGAGTAACCAGTGCCGGAACTCTGTCCAGGGGAAGCTCCTGATCACAGATGAGCTGGGTGAGGCTTTCAGCGTGGTATGCCATGCTCGGGGATCATGGACTTTATCACCCCAAATGTTTGGAGAAGGTGGAGCTGGAGCGTTGAACCTGAACCTTTCCAGTTCAAGTTTAAATCCCTACTTTGCTGTGAAACTCAGTGGCTGACCTGGGGTTGAAATGATGTGGGGAGAGAAGAACCACATATGTGTCTATGGGTGCCTTTGGGGAAATGAGGGATATGAAAGTAATGAATAAAGTTGCTGATGTGTTAATGTTAAAACTGGATATATTAGATGCATTGATAACCCACATTAAAGAGTAATACTTCCAGAACTGCACTCAGCATATCTGAAAAACCTTTCGTATAAGCATACCTGGTCACTTTCCTGCAGTGTGATCACATGTCTTGTGGGGAGGGGGGATTTGCCTGTGAAGCACAAATTCTCTTTATTTTCTTTTCAAAATAAAAAGAGAATAAAAATACAAATTAAAACCCACCACACTCGACACAAGACTGATTGCAGCTATGGCTGAACAAAACATCCTCATAGTTCAACTGCCATTTATTTTGGGGAAAAGATAGCACAATAACCCACTGAGTGTGGGTTTTCATACCTGTCTGAATCCAGTCATTGCGATGTAGGGCCTAGAGCAGGAATGGGGGGAAACGCTGGTCTCCAAGCCACATGTGGCCACCGGGATACTGCTGCTTTGAGCCTCCTGTGGTAATTCCGAAATAGGCCATGGATCTTAGCACAAGGAGAGTCATGGCTACCTGAAGCTTCGAACTTGGCTCTCCCAACTCCCAAGTCCAGCTTTCAAAGCGCTAAACCACAGTACTTGTGCCAGCAGATCTTAATGCTCTTCCCTTGCCCCGTTGCAATGCTAATGTTCTGAGAGTGATTTCGCACCCCTTCTGTGGGATCTCTGGTGGCCGTTCTCTTACAGGTTATATCTGTGAAAGAAAGGACTTGCTGGTGAACGGCTGTTGCAACGTGGAGGCGCCCAGCACGAAGCTGTACAGTTGTGACAGCTGCCTGAGCAACAGATGCTGCAGCGTGTACGAGGCCTGCGTTTCCTGCTGCCTGCAGCCCAACAAAGTAAGGCGGTTCGGTGTTAAAGACGGACAGGCAGCGCTGCAACAGCGTGCTGCGGTGTGTCCTCACCCCGAGCAGGATGCCAGCTCCCCATGCTTTTCTCTGGGATACTGTAAGCCAGCCTTCCCCAACTTCGTGTCCTGCAGGTTGGTGGACTGCAGCTAGTCAGTATGGCCTTCCCGTTAGCCATGCTAGCTGGGGAAGATGGGCCTTGCAGTCCAATACAGATTTTGGAAAGTTTCTTCAGTTCTGCATGACTCAGGTGGTCCATTTCATTTTCCCTCTTTATCCTCTGTTCTTTCTCAACTGAGGTTTGACGTCCCATGGTTGTTCAAGGCCAGAAAGCCTGCTCAGCCCCCCACTGGTTGTCGTTTGGGAGTTTTTCCTGGCCCCCATTTTGAGAAAGTTTTTCATAACTTTTGCATACTTTGAGGTTCATCAGAAGATAAGATTCCTTCCCTCTTCATGATAAGAAGGTGTTGACGGCTGCAGCCCTTTTGATGGGGCAGTTATGACAGGTTGAACATGGGAGGTGCCAAACCTAAGTTTTATTTCTTACATTTACCTTCTGCCTTTCCTGCAAAGCACTCAATGTAGGATTCATGATACTTCAATCCTCTTCTTTTATCTTTATGACAACCCTGTGAGGTAGATTAAATTAAGAGATGCTGGCTGGCTGTAGGACACCAGCGAGCATCATGGCTGAATGGGGGATTTGGAGTGGCGTCTGGCACTCTAGCCCCAGTACTACATGAGCTCTGATTTATATAAGCATTCTCCCATGGTTAGCTCTCTTTCCTTTTTCAGGCCAGTTCTCCACCCTAAGAACATTTATTTAAAAATTGCTTCATCCTCCAAAGAATTCTACCCCTGCCCTTTTGTTTTCCAGCAACGCCTCCTGGAGAATTTTCTGAACCGAGCAGCAGTAGCCTTTCGGAACCTATTCATGGCCGTAGAAGATCAGTTCGAGTTGTGCCTGGCGAAATGCAGGACCTCATCTCAGGTAGGAAAGCACTTGGAGGCATCAGCTTAGTAGTTGGGGTGCCGAGCTTGTACCAACCCCCCCCCCCCGGCCTGCACATCGCTATAATTGTTTGTGTATTTCTAAGACAAATTTTCTCTGGGTTTGGGCTTGATGGATGATGCAAGTCTATTTCTAGTCTGTATCAGTTTTGCATGTATTAGATCCTATGTCTATTCTAACTTGTGAGTCACATTGAAATATGAAAAGAAAACCACACACACATCTTTTTGTATGCAACGTTCCTTAATAAAAGCGTTTTATAAAATCAGTAATTGCTTTGCAAGATCTAGGAACATGCACAATCAGAAGGATAACTGTGTTCCAGCCAGCTTACTAGTCCAGGAAGTACAATTAAGGTTGACTAGCTTAAATATGTGGATCAAATTAAATTCTATCCATCATTCCTAATCTGTGTTTGGGGGTTATCAAGTTGGTAGAAAGAATTTTCCTGCCCTGATTGTCCATTAGATACCTGCTACTGTCCCCAACCTTTTGCAGCTGTGGGCACATCTGGAGATATAACAGTGGCTGTGAGCACCAGCACAAAATGGCTGCTTTGTGTAACATGCTTGTTCATAAAACAGCCACTATGGGAAGCATGACTCCACCAAAAAAAAGTAACTTGTCCAAGAAATACAAAGGTGGCAATGCTATGCATGCTTTCATGGGAGTAAGTCCTATTGAATTAGTTAGTACTTGGTTCTGAGTAGATCTGCATGTGTTCCATTCCATCTTTCTCTTGCACTGAATGTAGATTTTCTGCAAGTTTAGCTTGTTGTGCAAGCTACATGTGCTAACATCCCATTTTGTGAAGCGTTAAAGTTGGAGTTGTTGTCTTTGTCCTCTTCTGCTACAGATTCTGGTGACTAGATGTTGTGTCCGCATGCTTGCAAAACTTTTGCTGTCCGTGAGCTGCAGTTCCTTTCTGTAGCTGCTGTGGTGATAAGAGTTTTCCTGTGAGCTTGATTTTCCCTAAGAGCTCTTTTCTGCTTTTTCTCCCCTGCCCAGAGTGTACAGCACGAAAACACCTACCGTAACCCCATTGCAAAATACTGCTATGGAGAGTATCCCCCGGATCTCCTGTCTGTGTGAAAGTGATGAGGAAGCCACTGGAGGCAGCCCAAGAAGAGGCAAAGTTGTGATGAAGGAAAGAGCAATGCCATGTTCATGGATGCTTTTGCTCTGTACCGCTGTGTGCACCTGACCTTGTGAAAGAACTTTCTCTGAATTGTTGCCTTGTTGACATCCCCCTGCAGTCAAAAAGCTGGAGGACTTGCCTGGCTCGAGCTCTACAACATGTTGGAGGCTCATGTTCAGACACTGCATCAAGGGTGCAGTCGGTCAAGACCTATCTTGAAATATGTACTGCGAGTTAAGTGTAAATAACTAGCCCATGGCTATTTTCCCAGGAGATTGGTAGACTGAACAGCAATGAAGGAAGATGGCACTGCCATTCAGTGGGGGAAAATGGCGGACTCCTTACTGGGGAGATGTATCCTGCGTCCTGGATGCAGACTGTTTTATGTAAATATATTTATTGGGATCGTATGGGGAGGGTTGCGCCAGCTCAAAATGCATTGATTCCATAAGAGTGTCAGGTTGGTCTTAAGACTGAATAATTGGATTAACTTTCTCAAGCTTTACTCATCCATCTTGTCCTGCATGAGCTCTTTCTCTTGATGTGATCACTGGCTGTTTGCCAGCAAAGCACCTGCTTCCCACCACACTCCATCTTCTGATATCCTAGAGCTTCCGTGCAAATAGATGACTTGAACAAGCATGATTAGGGTTGTGTGAGGTGGGGCAGGGCCAGCAGCTCCAAGACTGCCTGCTCAGTAAATGCACTCAGTTCAGGCAGGGCATGTGTTTGAGGCACGGAAATGGCAGTTCGGTGAGGGAGGCAGCGAATGCCCGATGAATGTTGTTGATCCCTTTAAGACCGGTAGGCAAATAGATTCTGTTTTATTGAGGTTGAGGCTGCTGGGATACTGAGCTTGCTGATGAAATCTCTGACCAAGGAATGCTTTGATTCTGGGTTTTGACTAATTATGGAAGACTTAATGTCTCACTCCTGTAATGATTCTGTGTACTTGTAAACAAGTTCTGAGCATCACTGGTGCAAACTCCTGCTATCAATTGCCATTGCTGCTTTGTCTGTTTCTCCTCACATCCTTCTTTCCCTCCTCCTCCCCACCGTGCCAGAAAGCTTTAACCCCCCCCCCACAAGCGAGACACACAGTCACCCTCCCCTGCACCCCAGCTCAGGTCTCTGAAGAGTTGTGTCAGCTGGAAAAATGGACAGCATGGCTCTCTAGAGAGGTTGGCTGCCCAGCACTCGCTAGGAGATGATCTAGAGAACAGGTGGCAAAGGTGGAGTGAGCATGGGAGTTGTGGCAGCAGTAATAGGTGAGTGAGGTCCAGTTAGGGGGCGAAGTGAACACCCTCCTCAGGCAGTTGGGCACCTATGAAGGCAAATGGCATTGCTGGCTCCACTGTTTGCCTTCATAGGTGCCCAACTGCCTGAGGAGGGTGTTCACCTTACCCCCTAAGTGGAGTAGCCCTGCTTCTGGATATTGTGAAGCGCATGGCATGACACTTTAAATGGGGCGTGGACTTGAGGGTGTGGCCTCCTCCTTTGAATCTGCCTCCTCTTAGTGCGGACAGGCTGGCTGACACCCACTGGGCTTACTGTTCCAACGTGCCACGGCTTAAAAAGCCAAAGAACTGAGCTTTCCAGGGGCAAATCATGCTGATTTTTCCGCCACTCATCAAAATGCACCCATGTGCGTTCTTGTTCTTAGTTTGTCCCAGGAAAGTAACCTTCCTCAAACCTGATGTTTCAGGCTTCAATTCCCATCAGCCCCAGCCAGTGGAATGCAATCAGCCTTTCTCAGCTTGGTGCCTTCCGGATGGCTTGGACTGCAATGTCCCAGGTCCCTGACTATTAGCCATGCCAGTGGACGTGACGGGAGTTGAAATCCAAAACATTGGATAGCACCTGAGTGGGGGAGGCTGCAGTAAGGGATAAGAGGCACCTTGGACAGAATGAAGAGGGGCAGGAACAGCCCTAGCTCAGGTTCAGTCGCTGGCATTCCTATGCAAGAAGTATCAGGTAGCAAATAATGCAAAAGACCTGCTGTTACAGAGCTGCTCTCCATCAACGCCATTGGTCAGGAGTCCCCAATTTTGGCAGGGTCAGTGGGATGTCTTGGATTTCGACTACCTTGAGTGCTTTAACAACAAAGATCAGGAGGGGAAGGGAGCTTCAAGAGATCGAACGAGATGGGGAAATCATTTGATGTAGTATAGGCAACAAACAAGTTCATCCCCCACACACGAAGGATTTCAGCTCCCAGGATGGGACATTGGCAGTAGGCCAGGTTGCCCCAACATCCTGCTTTTCTGGTCTGACCAGCTCTTCCACTGGGTCATCTACCGAATGCATTCAGAACTGGGAGAATATTGTTTTTCTCCATCTTGCCTCCCCAGCCAACAACATGGCGGTATGTGAATTGACAGCATCTTTTCCATGTCCCACTAGAGTTGCATGGCCCCTATTATTTTCAGGTCCCCTTTGAAGTATTGGGCCATTGTGGAACTACTGTTAGGTTAGAGGTGCAGAACCACAGCTCTGGAACCCAACTTCAACTCTTTGGGGGTTATGTTCTGGTACTCTGAGGTTCCTCAGCTGACCATGCCCCCTTTTCTAAAGGTTGAAATGGTTCTCCCAAGGTTTACTTGCTGGAAGTAAGATCTTTAAGCTAAACTATACTGGTAATTTGGATGTACTTCCCTAAAGCTGTGTGGCCCCCAAAAGCTTCTCTGAAATATATTTTAACCATTGGTTCTGCACCCCTCAACTAGCTAGTCTGATCCAACAGGACTCAAGAGTACCTGTATACAAAAGAAACTTGAGTCGGGATGCATTTGGTTTCTTTGTAGCAGAGATACACTAGCCATTTCTGGTTGAAAGCAGCTGCCACTTATCAGGTAAAGGAGGTGCACAGTTGTCAAGTTTGGATCTTGAAAACTTAAGCTTTGTAGGAAATCAGCATCCATACATAAGTTTTCTTTTGTTACCTGTGTGTCAGATAAATCTGCTTATTCATGCAAATTTGATCATTTGTGGTCCTTAACTGCCTCTTTACTGCCTCGCAGTGGTAAAATGTTGTCATGCCCTTTCTTCTCTCTGGCTATTTACCAATGGGCAACCATTTCATCAGGACCGTATCGCTTAGGAGCAATAGGATAAATAGCCAAGTTCTAGAGGGTTCTGTTCAATCCCCAGCATGTCTGATTTTTAAAGAAATGGCACCAGTAGGCAGCGAAAGGCCTCAAAGCCTAGAATTCTGGAAAACCTCTGGCAGAGGGGAGTGAGTCTGTGCATTGGGCAGTGGCTGGTTTTGAATCTTTTCTCTGTCAAGAACTTGATAGATAGCTTTAGAGAAGCTGCTCTCACCCTCATCTTCTCACATCACCCGCGATTTATCGCATGTATTGTTACGAAATCAGTTCTTCGTGTGTTATTTTATGCCTCTCATCACTGAGAGGCATCATCAGGGCTGGGAGAAGCCTGAGGGCCAAATTATTTCTAGGAAATCCTACCAGGGCCTCACATCTGCAGTGGGTGGGACATGCACTGCAGTCATTTGGCTTCACAATGCATTTCCCCCACCCACCATACAGTGGAGCGGAGGCCTCCAATAAGCTCTGCCATTGAGATTTCTGGCTTCCAAAGCCGCTTTTGAGACTTGGGAGGCCTGGTTGCACTAGGTGTGGCATTGAGGGGTCCAGCGCTTCTCTGTAGCGGGACTAGCATCCTTTGGCAGCTGCGGGGATACAACCACTGTTAAGTCCTTCCTGACATAATACATGTTAAGTCACCTTCCAAGGAGCTCCAGGCAGCTGGGTTTAGCTGCCGGGTTGATTTTCACAATGCTAAGGCATTATGGAAAATGCAGCTCATGGTATTCGTGTGTGTGCCTGTGCACGCATGAGCACAGAGCTATGAAGAGCACCACTGTGTGTCAGTGCTGTCAGGTTAACGTTGACCAGTAGAGAAGGCCCTTTGCCTAGGGGCCCCTCAGGCCTAGAGCTAGCCTGATTTGCGGGGGGGCTGTCATTCTATTACACTGCATCCTGTTCAGCAGCTGGGAATTCTTTGAAGACCGCATGGAATGAGTAGGGAAACATGCATATTGAGGCTTGGGAGCAGGAGGGAGAAGGTAAAGCACCACCTGTCCTGCAACACTGGTACAGCTAGGTAACTGTAGACCTCAGGCTTAATGATCTTACAAAAGCCCTCATTAGAGGGTGGTCAGTGCCATTTCAATTGTGAAGCAGATAAATGATGTTTCTGTCATTTATCCTTGCCTCCTGATCCCAATATTCCAGGCTTGTAAAACTGCTTGTATAATCCTGATACATTAGAACAACAAAGGTGATTGGCAATCCTGTGCATAAAACCTTTGTTATGAGACACTTCTTATGGTGGTTCTGGCCTTTTCTAGGAAGACCTTTCAATTAAACAAAGCAATGTAAAATGCTTATATTTATAGCTAAGTTTGTTCTCAAGATCTTCTCATTTCTTCATTCTGCGAATCTTTACTTTCACTTACGGGTTTGGGTGAGTGAGTTCTGCCATAAATCAGCCGGCAAAACCTTTTGCATTAATGTGCCATGTCATCACCCATGTGACTGTTAATCAAACGCTGTCAGCAGGAACAGTAAGATGGGGTCCCTCTTCCCACCGCCCTCCAGGAAGAACAGGTGGTAATGGAGGTTAGTTGCAATGGCACTGACAGGTTTGTTGCTCACAATCCAGTTTTTACTGTCCTGGCAACTGAGAGGAAGGGGTGCTTTGAACACATTGCCACAGACATCCGGTGTCCTACTTGGAATATTTGGCTTTGTAATGCTCGACTAAATCTTGTAGCTACCATGTGCTTGTACCTACATGAGTTGGGGTCATAAAGAGAAGCGCATCTAGCAAGGTGATTCAGAATTGCACACAGCTGTGATGTGACCCCTTCTCCTGGCCATTTAGGCCCAAATGCTAATTTTCACAAGAAAAGCAACAAGGTAACATTTTTTCAGGGTAGCTGGAGAACATTCCTAAACATTCAGTTAAATTCTGGCATAAAATTTCATTCAGATTCATCACTAAGCTTACAGGTCCATTATAATATTACGGGAATTATGACTCTCTTCCTCTGAGGATTCAAAGGCTTTTTTTCCCACCTGATCACATGACATTTCACTGGAAGTCACACCAGGATGAGATCTACTGGGGGTTGATTTATTTCACAGCATTTAGGAAAATTATGCCTATGTCCCATTGAGCATTATGAGTTTTCTGAGTAAACATATTGACAGTCAGACAGTCTAGCATTGATTTTAAAATCTCACAATTTTACTAGTGGAACTACAAATGATCCTATAGATGTCAACTGACTATTGACTATGTAACCTGCTCTACTTTTTGGAGTGTGGCATAAATAATGACAGAGTAAAAGAATACTGCAGGTGGAATTGAACTTTCTGCAATGAGGGGCATTAGACAAAACATTTATTTTCATGTGAGAAATGTTTAAAGTACATAGGGACAGATTTCAGAGAAAATAAGCAGAGCAAGTAAGAGTTCTGTAATGTAAGAAGAATTGAGGTGGTGATCCTTGCTGCAATACAATATAACCACAGAAGTGTTAAAAGTAAACAAAAATATCATTTTCATCTGTGAAATGATGTAAAGTGGAGCTGTTATTGTTAATAGTCCATGCGATTACCTCTCATAGTCAAAAGGTGTCACTGTTGGTGCTGCTTATGAACTGTATGTGAAGCAGAGGTGGCGGGCGGGGGGGGGGGGAGACACACAAGGCAGAACGAACAATTTGTTCTAAAACATTTTGTGCTGTAATGGGGTCATTGGTACTTCTGGGATTTCCTGTTTTCTGAACAGGCAGCCTCAGACAGCAACTGTGGACTCTGCAGCCCATCTCAAACACCCTGTTTGATCCAAACATTGCAGGCTGCCCTCAGAAACTCACCAAGCCGCAAACCCCACCTCCTGTGGGGTTTATAGGAGATCTTGTAACATGCACATACCACTCCCAGTTGTCTCAAAGCCAGGCTTTCATTTCCTCTAGGTTGTGTAATGAGATCATAGGATTTCTGTGGCTTTCTACACTGCTGCATGGAAAGAGAAAAAATCTGAAAGAAGCACTTCACCATCAAAGGCTTGAGCATGTATTCCTAGCTCCAGGGAGTACATGAGTTCCAGTGGGAACTTGGCATTTACTTGAGAACGAGTGAAGGGGCTGACACTTCTCTTACCCCAAACATGCTGAACTACTATAGAAAAGGATTCTGCTCTGGTCTCAACACACACTGGGCTCTGTATCTATTCAGGCACATAAGCTCACAACCAGTCCGCTTCTCTGTAACTCAAACTCGTATCTTTATTGAAACATAACTAATGCAGTAAACAATGCTTCGTAGTAGAAGGATGGCTAAGATTGATGGATGAAATAGAGAAGAAAACAGTTGGATGAAGTGAGGAAAAAAATGAAAGGCCAAGTCTTCAGGCTGGAATTCAGAGCAGTGGCAGAGAACCAAATCTGACGGAGGTTTCTTCCAAAAGAGCTGGTATGAATCTGACAAATACTTCCTAGGGACAACTAATCAATCCATGGCATCAAGGCATGACCCACAGAATACAAATTAGAGCAATTATAAATGCAGAGCCCAGAGGGCAAAATTATATAATGGAATGCCCACCTGGGGCAGAACATGCCCCACCTGTAATCTGTAGATTTTGTTATTTAATAATGCATAACAGTATTCAATAATAGCTGCATTGTTAACTAATTAGATCATATTGTTTATGTGTGTACTTCACACAACCTGATCAGGGTTCATTGCTTTTTTGTTTTTACTTTCCTTGCTTTCTAGTCTTGAATCCAGTCTTCTGGGTGATGTCTTCCTCTGCCTGAGATAGTTCACCCACTGTACATGGCCTAGTGCAAAGGCCAGTGATATAACTGTTGGGCAGACCTTCTAGTGACTGGTGAAAGGTATGGGCAATGTGGATGAGTCATGCTATAGGCCAGAGATGGAGAGACTTATGTCTGTGATGCTTTTCTCAACAGCAGTAATCTATGGCTGAATGTCTCCCTCCGGGTTTACAGATTCAAACAGCCTTTGCCACATAGGAGACATTATCCTGCACCAAGAGAAACTCCAGTCTCCTTTGTCACATGGGCTTCATTATCTGAATTACTGAAATGAACCTGGTAGCATGATCTACAGGATTCTGGTCTGTGAGAGGATTGTTCAACGCTCCAATAAGCAGTAATGCTCCAGTAGGCCAGTACATGCTTCTCACCCAACCTACCTAGTAGAGCTGATGTGAGGATAAAAGGGGGAAGGGAAAACAGGCAAGATAAAAAATATAATAAAAATGCGTTGAGCCCTCCTAATGTGTTACTGGTGATAGAATAAATTTATTTAGAGATGGGGAGGCTGGTGAAGGGTTTTTTTTTTTTTTGTGATGCTTAGTATCACAGTGTTAAACCAGTTTCAGAGATGAATCTAAATTGTCAATCATGGCTATCAAAAGAAGAACAAAAGCACAGTACTTTTGACTAAAAGTTATGGTTCTTTGGAGGCTGAAAAAAGGCTTGCATTTTCAAGAAATGCATTTATTTCATTTTTACATACATTCATATGAACCACTGTCAGGGATACCAGTTTTACAGCTCAACAATGGCAATTCTTTTGCTTATTAAAATGAAATGAAAGACTCAATGGCATTAATTGATGATAAAGCATACATTTCACAAATATTTTAATAAATAAGGTGTTTTAGTACAAATATTAGAAAATGTATTCAAATTGTAGTTTACAAACCTGCTTTTTAATATGGCTTTGATCCAAATAGCAGCAGCCTACTCTCCACCATCCAATAGAAAGAACCTAAAGTACACAAAAATAAGTAGCATCAGAAAGTTATATAGTTGAACAGATTGTTCTCCCATAAAAAGCAATATAATACTATAACTTTACTGTAGTATTTCAAATAAACCAGCAAGGATGCAAACAAGACAAAATGAAAAAAATCCCTTTCAATACAAATTAAGGCACACCCCAGAACTAGCCAGATCTGTATTATTTTAAAATCAACACTATGCTTTTTTGTTGTTTTTTTACAGTCTTCCCACTGCTAAATTTTTGCACTGAAAACTAGAAACCTGTTTGTTAACAAAGGACTGACACTCCCTAGAACAAACAAAGCAAAATGAATTTATTGGTACCAGAATATATTATGGTTTTGCAGCCTCTGTGAAAACATCTCTTTGATCACTTTAGACACAGATCTGTCTCATTAATATAATTTATCATCATGCTTATTTCTAAAAGTTTCAGGCGCCTATGCCCTTAAATCTTAGGATAAACAGTAAACATCCCTAAGAAACACCTTCTCCACTGAAGAGCTTCCATTAGCTTCAAAGCTACCAATTTTTCTACCAACCATTGTGCAATCTAAACATTCTGATCTAAATTAGAAAGTTAGAATAAGATACAAGCAGTACTGTATTAAGCTACTGGGAGCATCAAAGTGTTTTCTACATAGTGTAGAAAGTTTTTTTTTGGCTAAAGCAAATTCAGACATATGTAGTTGGAGGAACATCTATGCACATGTATTTCAGAGTGTCTCCCAACAGTCTTCACTTCATAGTTCAGCTCAGGTCTGCTATGTTCCACACACACATGGTTTCACTGGATCAGGGAGAAGATCTTTTTTCTGGTCATGAACAGAAATAAACATGGACCAACAACTGCCTCAACATTACTTTGGCAAAGTGCATTAAACGAGTTACATATACACCATCAGAGTCACTTGCTGGAGCACAGTTTACAGTCAACTGATACTAAGAACATTTTTATTATAATTACATGTAAAACTCAGACTGCCTAACACAAAAAGTAAGACCTCACAGAATACATAGATAATGGAAGTAAGCTCTACTGAAGCCAATATAATTGACTTCTATGTCAGTATTTTAACGCACAATATAACATTAAAATTCTAAGGCTGCAATTTATGTGCCCTTACTTAGGACTATTCCCCTGCTGAACATCAAGGGGATTAGTTTCAGGTAAACATGCATAAGATTGCTCTGAAGTTTATGTGCTTAGTCACCAATGCCCTTTATACTATTCTAACTGGAATACTGCAAATACGCATGTGGACACAGTCACAAACATGCATTGTTTTCTGTGCAAAACTCTCTTGCAGCTGTTTACAAATTTTATCCTAGTAACTCTATTGAGAAAAAAATAGTGAAGTCGCTACAAGTCTATTGTTCACTTTTCTTCTGGTTGAATGCTTTACAAAAGGCTGCCTAACCATCTTTTTTCACTGCGAGGGAGCAGCGTCCATATAAAGTGTGCAATCTCTTTTAATTAATGAGAATAGAGTGTTATCCTTTTCTGCATATGCCTTAGTATAATAATCTCTCCAGTTCTATATGAAACTAATTTTCCACAGCCACATTCTGGTTTTACGGTACAGAATCTTATAGCCTTAATTCAGCATTTCCCAAGCTGGCACCCACCAAATATTTTTAACTTCAACTTCCATGATTTGCAGTCAGATCTGAAATGTTGTTATATTATGTATCAAGATCCACTAACCTGTTCAAAAGTCTTCATCCTCGATGTAACTGTTCTTTAACAGATGCTCTTTTACTTTCTTACTCTCAATGTATATTTCAGACACCATATTGCAAGGAATATACCCTTCCTTTCCTTCACATTCACCTCTGTAAAAACCATCAACATCTTTATCACCAATCACCTTTAGAATCTGTCCCTTTTTAAAGGATAGCTCTTCCTCAGCTGTATTGCAATTAGGTGACATAGTTATGGGATCATAGTCAAAAAGGGTGACAAATAATCTTCCTGAGTCGGTAAAATCAGGCACTGATGGTGTTACTCGATCAGCTTTCAAAGTCATGGTCATACCGGTATCTTTTGCCAGTTCTGCAGGAGGTATCGCTCTATCCTGTGGTTCAGCATCTTTCTGGACATAAATGCTCCTTTTATATGCTAGGCTCTCCTCTTCTTCTCCATCTGAGAAATCAGGAATATCATTTTGGTCACCAAAATGAGTCTCCCGACTTTCAGTTCTTGATAGTTGCTCTTCCTCGTTTTCAACTTGAGACACACTAAGGTCAGGCAGTTCATCGCATAACCATTTCATCTGCTTCGTGTGTTTCTTCTTAGACAATCTACCCATTTCTTCCTGAAGAAAGATTTTGCGGGTTCCTCCATCTCTGCAGCTGTCCTTCTGTTCAAGCTTTATAGAAGAAACACTGGGCTCAGAATCTGAGCAGTTTGCACCAGAATTCACAGCACGGTGTTGGATGGATGGATATTTTGCAGTCGTATCTGTATCTTGGCCATATACCTTGACTTTAGTACTGTTTGGCTGTGCCGTAGATACAGCTTTTTCTCGTTCCATATTTTCAGCATGTAGGTTTAATTTTAGCATGGGATTTGCTGATTGTTCACACATTAATGAAGGCAATGCATAATCTGAAGATTGCTTCCCATTAGATCTACATAGAATGGAATCACTCTCACCTTGATTGTGAGACGTCATCTGGGTGGTGAACGGCATAGGATTCCTGGAAATGTTCACTACCATAGGAGCCACCAGCTCTTTACAATCAGAGGTGAAGTGAACTGTGAAGTTGGTGTCTGTATTGGCCATGTCCATGTGGGAGAAAATGGATGATGATGCACCGGTTACTGTATGAATGTGCCCATCCTCAGTCAACTCTGAGGCTTGGGTGGAGGCGACAGACTTGGACCACAATGAACCAGGAACTCTGAGCAGAGTGGGAGGGATTAAAGCTGGTACAGAGTCTTCAGATTCTCCAAATGGAGAGACAGTTCTTACGGAAACCTTCAAAGTCTCTTGGAAGGTATGTAATTGAGACACTGCTAGTAATACATTTCCAGATGTTGGTGACATACTTTCTGTTACTTTCTGTCCATTTATATAAACAGCATAACCAATGACTTTAACACCATTGGATGATCCTACTGCATCAATTGTTACAGGTAACCAGGTAATAACAAGAAACCCAGCAGAAGAACTAGGTTGTACTTGGACATCAAGGGGCGCATCCGGTGGTTCTGTCGATGGAGTAGTAAAAGTAATTGCTGCTGATTTCCGCTCCCAGTTTCCCTGAGGAATCTCTAACACTTTGTTACAGTCCTGGGTTTCCACTTTTATACTGTATTGGCTGCCTGGTTCAAGGTTTTGAAAAGTATACCAGTAGACCCCTGAATTTGTTACATTATATTCTTTCTCATTAAGATACACAGCATGAGAATAGTTACTGTTGCTTGGCAACCAAGTGATTTCTGCTGATGTTGCAGTGATGTTCCGAAGTTGAAGGAGTGTTGGTGCAATATGGAAACTATTTCCAACAAGAAAAGTACATCGCATCTTATCAGAATTTCCTTTGTCTGTCACACTTTGCACTGAGATGCGATATGAATGCAAGTTCAAATCCAGGTTCTCAATCACTGCTTTCATCTGACTGCTGTGCTTCACATTGGCATATAAATCTGTATTGACGTAGATATTATAGCTATGAACTCCTCCACAGCTGTCTACCATATGTGGTGGATCCCAGCTTATAATGATGGAACCAGAAAACTGTTTAATAAGAGTCAGATTCTGAGGATAAGGCACTGCTATCTGATAATCACACAGTTCTCTTCCCAATCTGTTAGACTGCAGATTAACATTCCTATCTTCATCGGGGCTGTCACTTTTTTCTTCACTATTGGTACTTTGGCAGGGAAAATCCATTTCATGCAATGCAAAGTCACTGGTCTCTGAAGGAAGAAAACTCATTAGATCATTACGAGAAACTTCTTCTACCAAATTAGAGGGCACCATTCCTCTTCTGCCATCCATCAATTCCCCTTCATAGAAGCCATCCTCATCCATCCCCCCATAGATATAAACATATTCTCCTGCTGTAAGTGGAAGCTCCACCTCAGGATTCTTGTTAGGTCCTGCAAAAGGATCATAGCTATATCGTGCTAAAAAGACATGAAGTTTTGAAGAAACTTGATTTTCTAGCTGGAGGTTTATAGAAACTTTATCTGTCTCCAGAGCTACTTCATCTGGTTTTTCTTCTTCAGAGTTAAGACAACATTTAGAGCTGTTCTGCAGAGATCCAGATGAGTTTACTTGAGATTCTAATTGATCAGCTTTTTTGAGCAAACCAGCAGTACCTATGGATGCAGAATCTTTATTGATGATGTCCTTATTGCAGTGGAAATTGTGATGGGTCTCTTGTTCCAGTTTTTCTGGACAGATTGTTACTGAGGAATTGCATGTTGTTTGTGATACTTCTGATTCCAAGATTCCAGATTTTTTAATTTGTAATCTCTCAAGTTCTTGAGATAGAAGATTAAAATGTTCAGTCTGACTATGATATTGATTTTCTAATTCTCTCACTTGGGATTCAAGTATCTGTACTGATTCTTCATGTTCTCTTTTGATTTCTGCTTGTATTTGCTGCAGGTGTTGTATTTCTTCCTCTTTGTTTTTCAGAACTAATAAGGTTTCCTTATGTTCAGATTCTAACTGTTGCTGTCTTTCTGCTATCTCTTTCATGTTCCTAATTACGTGTTCTAAATTCTCCACTTTGATTTCAAGTCCCTTAGTGAACTGAATTGCAGAATTTCGATCTTCAGTTGCTTGCAACAGTTTTATCTTGAGTTCAGCATTTTCATTTTCAATCTTTTGTGTTCTCTCAGTTTTCTCATGCAGTTGAGAGTTCTCCTCAGCAAACCTGACATTTTCACTTAATACTTCATTAAGTTGCAACTCCAAATCATCACTTGTCTTCTGTTTTTTCTCCATTTCATGTTTCAGGTTTTCACACTGTTTGCATTTTTCAACAAACTTCTTTTTCAAAACCTGTAACTGATACTCAGTATTTGAATTTGTTTTTGAAGAACAGTTTTCATTGTTCTCAGCACCATTTCCTAATGCTGTTTCTGGTTCTCCATTTTTTACCAATGTGCTCAATGCTTTTGGCAACTCCTTTGGTAAAGATGAGAACTCTAAACAAGCATGAATAGTTGAGGGTGTTTCCTGCATAACTGATGAAGAAGCATCCTTTAAACCTATTTTGGAGGGCTGAAGAGATTCCCTCAGGTTCTTAAGCATTATCTGTCTTTGTAATCGTAGCACTTCTCTCTGAGATTCTCGCAGCAAGCGATCAAAATCATTAATACTGAATAAATATGTTCTTTCCTTGCCTGTGGTTAGTTTGGCCCGAAGTTCCCAACACTCCCTCTGTAAGGCTTCTAGCTGCTGATCCTTAGCTAGCAGGGCACTGGCTTGCTCACTCAGGTCTTTTGCCCTCTGTCGGGCAAATGTGGTCTTATAAAGGTTCATATCTGAGCAAGTCATCGTTAATGGTATTGGGGCACTGCCAACTTTAAGGCTGGATTCTTGCAGTTTCTTGGCTCTTTCCTCCAGACGCTTCGCAATGTCAGCCAGTTCCCCGTTCTTCCTCTTCAGCCGCTTCACTTTTTCTTTCATCTCGGGGAAGCTACTTTTCCTCAGCAGGATGTTCTCTTCCTTGAGATGAGTGCACCGCTGCTCGAGATCCAGCAGCGCTTTCAAGAGCTCTGTGTTCTGCTTCACCAGTTGACTGTAACTGCTGCTAGCCAGCCAGCCTTGCTGCTGCGTGGCTGCTGGAGGCACACTTTCTTGCCCAGATCCGCTGCTGCTCACTTTCCCTTCTGGAGGCGCATGCACAGACTTCTCTTCCTTGGCTCCATCATCTGAACATGTCTCATTTTCCAAAGCATTCTGGGGCGCAGACGGTCTCTGTGGGCAGCTGCTGTCTTTGGGGAACCCTCCTTCAGGTGGTGACACCAGGCGGGGAGGAGAGTCGCATCTACTCAGGTTCCTGTCCAAAGAGCGGGACTTGGAGGCTGCTGCTGCCGCTGCTGTAGCGTCGGAGGAGCCGGTGACCAGGCTCTCCAAAGAACGAGGCCTGTTCTTGGCCAGGCTGTGCTGCTGCAGGGGGGCCTGCCTGGTTCTCTGCGGCCAGCCAGGTGGAGCCTGCTCGCCCTCAAAGCGCTCCAGGATGTATTTCAGGAAGAGGCTTCGCTCGAGCTCCAGCTCGGCCTTCAGGTGGCGGATGCGCGCCGCCTGGTCGCCGTCGACCTCCCAGCGGAGCTTGCCCAAGACCTCCTGCAGCCTGGCGCGGCACTCCCCGCTCAGCCCGGCCCCGCCGCCGCCGCCGCCTCTGCGGCTCACCAGCTCCTCGGCCAGCTGGCGCTGCAGGTCCCGCGCCTGCCGCATGGCGGCGTCGCGCTCGCGCTGCAGCAGCTCCTGGGCCTCGCGCAGCTCCGCCTCCTTCCAGCGCAGCAGCTGCCGGATCTCGGCCTCGCGCTGCCGGCGGCACTCCTCCCTCAGCTGGCGCGCCTCGCGGGCCCGCTGCTGCTCCCACTTGGAGCGGAGCTGGTCGGCCAGCAGCTGCCGCTCGCGCTCCGCCGCCTCGCGCAGCTCCCGCGCCTCCAGCGCGCAGCGGCGCCGGGCCTCCTGCGCGCGCAGGCGCTCGGCCTCCAGCTCGGCCCGCAGCGCCTCCAGCTCCCGCCGGTGGTCCTCGTGGAAGGGCAGCGGCGA